CCCCACACACAGTGCTTCCTCCATCAGTCTTCATTCTCACGCCTTCCCTGGATGCTTGTTAGTTCTGCTTCCAACTGACATTTTTTGGATTTTCAAAATAGGGTTTCTCTGTGTAGCCCTGGCTATCCTGGAACTCGCTCTGTAGACCAGGCTGGCATCAAACTTGTGGAGATCCGCCTGCCTCTACCTCCTGAGTGCTGGGATTAAGGGTGTGCACCACGACTGACTGGCTCCAACTGACCTCAATCACACCTGTGCTAATCTGTCACCAGTTTCAAGGGACACCTCCCCGACTGCAGCTCCAGTTACCTTTTTCAACCTAAAATGTGACTTTGTCTTTATGACAGTTCTGTGGCTTCCTTTACAAAAAGGTCTTCTTGTGACCCTCTACGCTAACCCTTCACTTTGTTCTGAGGTCAGATGCCCTGTGCTATGGCCACACTGACCTTTTCAGGCACTCTCCTTCCAGGGCTCCAGAGGGACACGGCTTCTGTAAGAGAGATGCCCCCTCGGCCCGGGATGACCCCCCCTTCCTTCCTCATGACATTTATTCATCCTTCTGATTGTAACTCCATTGTCATTCCCTCAGAGGTGACAGGTCGGAGGGCATGTTATAAACTGAGACAGGTCATCCTTCATTTCCAAACTTATGATTACATTTTTATTTCAAACCAAATGCTTATTTAAGCTGAGTTTCTTTTCCCCAGCAGAAGAAAAACTGAGTTTAAGGAAAAGCCTTTATATATGTTTTTTTGTCACTACCGATATGCTCTAAGTATCATGGAAATACTTTCTTTTCTTGATTGTTTGACTGCTTTTTGCTTTACTATTGTTGCTGTTGTTAGACAGAGTCTCGTGCAGATTGGCATTCAACTTTCTGTTGCCAAGGATGACCCTGATCCTCCTGCCTCCTCCCAAGTGCTGGGATTACGGGAATGCACAACCGTGTCTGTCTTGCAAATATTTCTTGACAGAGATGCCAGTTAAGAGTGAACAATATTTTGAGCTTTCTAAGGAGATAGAAAGGATCCCTAACTATCCTGTTTTCTACCACACAAACACAGTGCCATGCATTTATCTAGGATACACCTATGACTAGAGATTTCCATAGTGTAAAATCTTTCTCTGTGTTTATTATCCTTCAGTTTTGTCTTCTTTTCTATGACCTTTATTGTCATCTGAACACTGGGGAGTGTTAAGGGTTTGTTTTCATATTACACGCTGAGGCATAATTCATTTATTTTTCCTTTATACCATCATCTTGCTGTACAATTAGCATTCATGTGGTTGGCATATTCTAACATCAGAAAATTCAGTATATTTGTGACACTTTTGAAAATCTGTTTTCTATTATTTCATTACCATAGACATTAGCAATCATTATATTTCCTGTCCTGTGAGGCATATTAACTTTGGAAGTACTTATGATTTCAAGGGAATTAACACAGTAAGGGTACATCACAAGTTTTCATAAGCCTACAAATGCTGCCTGGGCCATAGCTCAGCTGCCAGGCTTGTCTAGCTCCTCAAGCCCTGGGTTTGATCCCTGGCACCACATAAACCAGATGTGGTGGCGCACACCTGTAATTAATCCCAGCTCCTGTGAGGTGGAGGCAGGGGAATCAGGAAGATTCAAGGTCATCTTGGGCTACACAGTGTCTTTGAGGACAGTCTGGAATTTGTGGGACACTGTCTCAGAATGAAAAACAAAAATCTTGAAAATACTTTAAATGTTGGATGCCTGATAGAAATGTAAAATTAGAAGTTCAGAGATCCAAATAACAAGTACTGTAAGAAACCGATGCTTCAGAAGAATGAACATATTTTTCCAAATGAGCCATGTCAGTCTCTTTACAGAAGACCCCCCAGCCAGTGGGGTGAGCCACTTGCTGGACAGGGGGGACAAGAGAAGGACACATAGGATGGACAAGGGAAAGTTACAAACGAGAGCCTCACTCACTGAATTATAGAGTGAAAGAAGTGTAACAGCTGCAGAGTTCAAATCCATTCTTTGAAACAGGAGCAAAAACAAATCTAAGGGTGAATCAGTCATTTGTCTGAGGCTACAGATGCCATGGCTGACACAGCCAGGATTAAGAGCCAGATAACCTTCGTACATAATTGTTTCCACTATACCATTATGTCCAATCATATCTCTTTTCTAAGATTCTATATGATGAATATTTCAAGCAATTAATACCAGGTCCTGATCAGTTCAGTGACTAGAGAACCCAAAAAATGTTACAGTAATTTGACCATTGGCTAAGTCTTATTATCAGGCCACTCTTAACACCGATGGCCAACAGTTGCTCTCTGTCTCTATAACATACTTGATATTTCTTGAACATACATTGGAAACATCAGTAAGACTTCTATGAGCCTGTACATTTGTGGCCACCACATCTTTCCAGCCAACACAGGCTTTTAGGTAATAATCTTTATTTATAAAATAACTGGCATTGCCTTACAGAGATGGAAGTTGACAAAAGAGATCTCTGCTATGATACTGCCACAGTGCTGTGTCCTTCAACCAGCTATTCAGCAAAATAAAACTTCCAGAAATCTCTAATGTATGGGGCTTGCTGGTTCTATGTTATATGCATCCCCAACCATGGCCGAGTCCAAGCCACCAAATCTGTAGCAGAGCTCTTGCAGAATTCTAGAATGTTTAACAATGGTTTCTAGTACCTTGTCCAGAGGCAGCTTCGGCCAATACTACAAGGAAAAATCTAGACAAAAGAAAAACAACCCACTTTTGTGTGTTTGTATGGTGGGGATATATATATATATATATATATATATATATATATATGTACATGTGTGTGTGTGTGTGTGTTGGGTGTGTGTATATGTGTTATGGAGTTTATGTTCACACTTGTGTGCATCTGCATAGAGCCCAGAAAGTTAAGTTCAGGTATAATTCCTCAGGTATCAGTACAGTGCTGCCAAGTGGGATACTCTGGCTGGTCCTGGGGATCCTCTTGTTCTGGTCTACCTGGAACTGGATTACAAGTGTGAACCATCAGGCATGGCCTTTTGCATGGATTCTAGGTGGGAGGAGCTTAGGTGTGCATGCCAAAAACACAAAGCACTCTGCAGACTGAGCCACACCCCCAGTCTTCAGCTCACTCTTAGTAAGGGGAAAACTGAGATTTCAAAGGGAGACATGATCACCATCCGGCTAAGAAAGTCTGAGTGCCCAAGTGTCCACTCTTACTTGTCCCTCTTCAGCACAGTGAAGCTTTGCTACCACAGCAGTCAGTGGTCCTGCTGTGTCCATGACAGCAGTCTCAGAAGACTACCAGCAGCAGCCACGTTAGAGAGCCTGGGACATGGTCACCACTTCCATTCCTCTCCAGACCCAGGGAAGCAGAGGCTCTCATGCTCAGAACACAGGGTGACACTGAACATTGATGAAGAATCTTCATGCGATACCCACAAATGTGCCTGATAAGCATCACTCAAGTCTGAGCCAAAGATAACAAACCCAAGCACAGCCAACAATTTTCATATTTTCAAAGACCTTACATTCCAGAATAGCTCAGATTTTTCTAACAAGCTGTTTACCTTCTGATTCTCTACCCCTGTATACTTTATAAAACAAAACTTAACAAATGTTTGTGTGTATCAGCTATGGCAGTTTTTTTCTTTTCTTTTCTTTTCTTTCTTTCTTTTCTTTTTTTTTTGGGGGGGTTTCAAGACATGGTTTCTCTGTGTAGCTTTGTAGCTTATCCTGGCACTCGCTTTGGAGACCAGGCTGGGCTTAAACTCACAGAGACCCACCTGCCTCTGCCTCCCAAGTGCTGGGATTAGAGGCGTGTGCCACCAATACCTGGCCAGCCATGGCAGTTTTAACATTAGAAAAACAAAACTAATGTCTTCTAAGTAAATATTTTTCTTGCAAATTTCCATCTTGCATAAACCAAGGCAGACAGTAGCAACATGGTGTCTTTATCCCAACCCACCTACTGTTTTGTTAGCTGATTATCTATTTATGACTTTTGTATATTTGTTTTTTCTGTCTGCCACTCTCTATTGTCTAGATATGAACTCCAAATTTTTAATTTCATTATGAAGGTAAATAAATACCACCTGTTGTGTTTTTCCCTCCTGATATGTAGAAGTAGAAAACCTTACAGTATAAATAGCATCTTTCCCTTCTTGCAACAGGGTTCTAAAGGAGAAGGGCAACAACCGAGTAACAGCTCTCCCCCAGAAAAACGCCTAGCTGTGGGGAAATCCAACCACAGAAAATCTGCATTGATGCCCTCTTGAAAACATTTGAAGGGAAGTCTGAAAACACCAGCCTGTGATTCTTAATTCATGATTTGTCACTGAGTTTATGTGTAGGGCAAACCCATGCAGTGGTGGCATATTTGCACAGCCATGAGAGGGGCAATGAATGTGCTGGAAGATAAGGGATAAATGAAAACATTGATGGGAGAAAATTCAACTATTTTCATCTTCCTTGGGAAATCCAGAAAGACTCATCCGAGGGTTCTTGGCTTGCATGGGAAGTAGAATCTCAGGGCATAGAAGTAGATACTTCTAAGGAAAGCAGAGGGCCAATTATCCTAGTTAAACCTGCATTTGCCAAGTGTAGCCAGAAAAGCTTTGGTGCCCACACAGCAGGAGAACATCCTCGGATCCAGGGCATCATCAGTAACTCTCTAAAAGGCAATGGTGAGCATGGTCACCCATCATCCACCCCTTTCCCCAGCTACATGGGCTGAGAACATGGCTCTCTTATCCCTCTCTGTCTTTCGGATCAAACACATGATTCAGCCAGCATTCCCCCAGTCATCTGCTCAAGAAATTCCACCTCCATGACCATGCACCAAACCCTTCTCCCTGAAAGAAGCTGAAGCCAAACCCCAAATGGAACCCCCACTTATGCACAAGAGGCTTCCTCATTGAGTCTCTAGTGGGTACAGCCCATGGGGTGTCCCCACAGGTAATGTGTGCATCACAACAGACCCGAGAGGCCTCAGGACACTTACGGTTGACATAGCTTGATGAGGTCCTGGTCAGTGGTGCCCGGTGGAAGGCCTCGAATGTACAGGTTCGTTTTACTCAACTGTTCTCCACTGCTGTTGCTGCTGCTGTTTGTGCTGGGGCTGGGAGGAGCCATGGGGTGGGGGGCTGGTGCATAGGACTGCTGCAAACAGAAAAAGAGAAGTGTTACTGGGCAAACAGAGGCAGTACCTACTCATAGACCAGCCACATTTACTGATGGCAGTGGAAGCTCCTTGCCCTCTCTAGTATACACACACATGTATGTATGTATGTATGGATGGATGGATGGACGGATGTATGGATGTATGGATGTATGGATGTATGGATGTATGTATGGATGTATGTATGGATGGATGGATGGATGGATTGATGTATGGATGTATGGATGTATGGATGTATGGATGTATGTATGTATTGATGTATGGATGTATGTATGGATGTATGTATGGATGTATGTATGTATGTATGTATGTATGGATGGATGGATGTATATATGTATGGATGTATGTATGTATGGATGGATGGATGTATGGATGTATGGATGTATGGATGTATGGATGTATGGATGTATGTATGGATGGATGGATGTATGTATGTATGTATGGATGGATATATGTATGTATGTATGGATGGATGGATGTATGTATGGATGGATGTATGTATGGATGTATGGATGGATGGATGGATGGATGGATGGATGGATGGATGGATGGATGGATGCCCATACACACACACTCCACTACCATGTTCCATGATGCTTCTGAGAGCATCAGTATCACTAGCTTTTCCTCTCCTCTGGCCCAACATTTGGATCAACACAACCTTGAATGGGAGACAAGGAAGCTAGGAGGAGCTGCTAACAGAAACTCTCAGCTTTGAACTTTGTCTCTCCCCAGACTGGCTCTTCTTATGCTTCTAAATTAGCATGTCACCTCCTTCCCAGTTAAAACAGCCCAGGCCTGGTGTTCTATCTTCTTCTAGCAGACAAACATCTTTATCTTCCCTGTTCTTTGGTTCACTCCTTTTCTCCAAAGAGACTTCCAACCGCCACTTCCCTCACCCCCATGGCGGAGCACAATTCTAGGTGTGCAGAAACCATTCCAGGCAACCTGCTTCCGTGAGTGAGTGAATGAATGTATCTGTTCAGCTCCTTTTCCTACTCTTAAACCTGCTTTCCATCACAGCTTGCTTCAAGAGATAGTAACTGGTTATGAATATCCGACCCAAGGGTCTGCACCTGAATCGCCTCCAGACACTGAGCTCAGGAGTCACACATCACAACTGTGTGTTTCCTGCAGGAGGTTCATCAGTGAGCAGTCTTTGTCCACCTGATTCTAATGGCAGCTATTCATTGCATGTGAGTGCTAAAACTGTCCACAGATATTGTTGAGGTCCTGCCGAGTGAGGCTTTTCTTGATTTCAGATCCACTATTTTAGAGAGTCAAACCATTTCATGTCAAAATTAAAACAATACAATTACTCTCTGAAGCTTAGGATGTACACATAAAAGTAATTATAGTTACATCCCTTTCTATATAGGCCATCTGCAGAGGATCTCAAAATATACACACTGCCTGGGTTGAGTCCTTGCTGACTGTCTTATCATCTGGATGACCTTTAGATGGTGACTTAACCTCTCTAAAAAATCAGCAATCGCATTAACATAAACAAGATAATAATAGTTCTCTTGGTCACAGGGTCTTTTAAAGACCATAGTGAGCTGACACAGTCATGGCTGCTGTAAGTTACCAGAGCATGGCAAACACTGATGGAGTCATATGTTAATATTTGTGGGTTGAAGAGCACCACTGACAATGCTGAGTCCCAGATTTTTCATTAGGGGTCCAGAATGTCATTTGAAAGCAAGGGTAAACACATTGTTCGAGACTAATGGATGGGTTAGGGAGAGGGCTCAGCAGGTAAGAGTATTCTCTGCTTTTGCAGAGACCCAGGCTCAGTTTCCAGCACCCAAGCAGTGGGTAATAGTGGCCCATAACTTGCTCCAAGGGATCCTGCACCCTCTTCTGGACTCTGCCAGCAACTGCATATGCATGAGGTACATTAACTCATACAGGCATATACAATAGTCATCAATAAGAAATAAATAAATCTTTGAAATTATTCTACTGGAAAAAATTATCTGGGTTATCTCCTAGAGACTTAGTTAATGGGTTGAGGAAATAGTAACTATTTAATAGTAAGTTTGGGACTCAGTAGTAGAAATTAATTTATTTAAATTGTGTGATAGCTAATATTGATTGTCAAATCAACAGGATCAATGCTGACCTGGAAGATGAGCAACTCACATGTCTTTGGAGGAGTTTCTAACCTGGGGTAATTGAGGTGAAAATCCCAACAGAGACTAGAACTCAGAACAGAATGAAAGGGAGAAAGTGGGCTGAGCACCAGAGTTCATCTTCTCTGCTTCCTGACTCCAGATGCCATGTGACTGGCTGCCTCAAGGCCCTGGCACCAGGCCCTTCCCCACCATAATGAACTGTATTACTACTGCGGGCAGAAGCAAACCCTTCCTTCCTTCCTTTATCTTCGTTAGGTGTTTTGTCACTGCAATGGGGACAATAACTAATTCAGATCGTATCAAACTACCCAATATTTGAGCCATGGAAGATATCTAAGGGCTAATTTGATGATATGATGGGGCAAAAAAAAAGAGGACAAACTATACATCATGATTTTTCAGTCTAATTATAAATGAAACAAAACACCGTAACCCACATGCCCACATGGACACGCATGCTGGCCCGTGTAAGCAGAGAACATCCAATAACAAGAACTGCACTCGGCCTTGACCCCAGTGAGAGGAAAGCATGGGGATCCAACTGAAGTTCCTCGCACTGAGCTGAGGCCAAACCTATCCTCCACTGAGTCACCCTGAAAGCCCCACTTGATTCTCTTCCTCCTTTCCAGGCACTTCGGAGTTCCCTCCATTTCCGCCCCTAGCCCTGCCTGATTGGCTCTTACTGAGGGTTTTCATTTCCATCTTGCCATTCTCCTTCCTAGCATTCACAGTTTGGTTCTTATCCATGTGTTGGGCTTAGGTATTTCATGGCTCCCTCTGTGTTGAATCTGCTGGCAGAAATCACCTGAGTCAGGTAACCAGAAGGTGTTTATAAATCTGCAGGCTATATCTTGTGCCTAAATGAGAAACCATGCTAAAGTTATGGAGACAGAGTGTGTGCTAACAGGACTTAGCTTTGTGTCCTGCTATAGTATCTGCCTTACATCTGTCTCTAGGTCTCAGAATGGCCCTGGGTCATACTTCCAAGTAGCTATAAAATAATGCTTCTTAAGATTCAGAACCTCAATGTGCATCTCAGGTGGTGTTTTCCACACCCTTCCCCAGCTCCACAAACACAAACATGAAACCTGTCACTGTGAGCTCCTTGGTTTTAGCATGGTCCTCATTCTCCAGCCTTGACACCCACCAGACACACCACTTGGTGTTGAGTTCATCTCTTCCCTCATCCCAATGTCATAATACAGACCGCCACCCAATTCTCTGAACTCCTAGCCTTTCCCCTGGCCCGGGTGTGTGCCATCTGGCACTGTGGCCTGTCTTCAAGCTTCCATCTGGTCCCTCTTCTCCCCTGCTCCCCTGCACAGGCCTCTGATTCATTGGATAGATGAGGAAAACCCAAAGGATAAGATGGAATTGTCAAATGCAAGAAGCTCAGACTGGCATGACATGAAAGAATGGGGGCGGGGAGAGAGAACAAGCAAATACCAGGGGAGCAGAGGTCAGAGCTCCCATTTCCAGGAACAAACACTTGCCTAACCATTTTCTTAGCTCTGCCTAATGCAAGATCAGCATTATTAATGTGGACTTTCATTTCCCCCCATCTTTTATATAGAACTACACAGGGGTATACTATGTGTATTTATATTCAGTGGCGTATATCTATTGCCTTTTAGTACGTAGTATGTGCATAGAACTGGAGCATTTTTGAAGCACAAAAATGTCTGTTTGCATCCTGCACTAAATTATGCTGTATCCATCCTTAGACTCCCCTCCCACTTAAGTTTCCCTCTTGTATAAGCACTGCACATAGTAAGTGCCATGGTGCTCACAAGAGTGAGCTCCGGGTCTCTAGCTCACAGTAGGTTCAATCACATTTATATTTTATCAGTCTTATCAAGTGCTTCTTTGTCTAACAATTACCAGGCAGAGCTGCTTTCAAAGCTGTCCCCTACCACTTTCCCTCCCCTCTCTTCAAATTCTTTGAATTCCATCCTGTACTGGGGTTTCTTTTAAAATGAGACTTTGTTTAAAGCAGTTCCCACCATTGCTTAAGCTTTAAAACCACGGAGGAGCCTGAAGAATGCCCACAGATTTCAGTATTGCAGATTGAGAGAGACCAGACAGACTGGTCTGGACTGGTCAAATAAGGAAAGCAGCAGATATCGCATGATCAATACGTGTTTACTTAATTCTTTTGTTCCCTCGGGGCTCTTTGCAGGCATTTCCATAAGTAGAACACTATTTAGCAAATTGCATCATGCCTACAACAATCAATGTGCCCTCCAACAAGACCAAGGTACTCAGTGGAATAATAAAAGCAAAGTTGAGAAAGGGACACAGAAGTTGTATGCATGGAAAAGATGTAGACTATGTGTGCCAATGTGTGCATGTGTCTGTGTGTGTCTCTCTCTCTCTCTGTGTGTGTGTGTGTGTGTGTGTGTGTGTGTGTGTATTTGTGACTGTATGTGTGTGCTAGGTGTACTTGTTAGTGTAGTTATAGGCATATGTGCATGCTGGTGCCTGGGTACCATGTGTGGTTGCATGTGGAAGCTAGAGATCCCATCCTCAATGGTTTCCTTAATTGCTCTTTACCTTGAGACAAGGTCTCTTATTGAAACCAAAGCTCTTACTATTTAGGTAGGTTGGCTGGCAAATGAGCTTCAGGGATCTGCTTGCCTCTGTCCCTTGGCCCTGAGCGCTGAGACACAGACAGGGCACCCAGCCTAACATTTTCTCTGTTTTCTGGGAATCTGATTCCCAGACTTATCTGACAGGAACTTTAGCAACCAAGCAGTCTCATTAGCTAGATATGTACTCGTTTCTTATAAATGAGTGAAAGGGTTCAGGGCCATGGAGAAAACATGGAATAGTAAAGGGTTTTT